AGATAGATAGATAGATAGATAGATAGATAGATAGATAGATAGATAGACAAAAATCTGTAGGTTTTCATTATCTCGATAGTTACATAATATTATTGTTTTTTTTATTTGAATACTTTTAGCTGTACAATATATGTTCGGTTATTACAGAATTAATCTTCACAAACAGCACATATGGGCCTTATTTTTCTTTCCGCCCCAGCCCTTCAGAAAGTCAGTACACACCACTAGTAGTTAGCCTATTGAGTATTTCCTGTCTTTTTAACCATGTTAAAACAGGAATTGAATGGTATCAAAGACAGAGGAAAATTATTTGAATGATTTTCTTTGCGTAAAATTACTTATAAAGAATTTGTTTTAAATTCACTGCTGAGATTTGGAGCCACTCCCTAAACAAGACTTGCAAGTTTGTATTAAGAGAGGACCCTTAAACTAATATTTAAGAGATGTATTTAAGAAAAGCTGGAACACAAACCTTAAACTCTGAGCTCATTAAGCGAATGTGGGCGTGTACACTGTGGCCCACTTTTCCCTGGTGGAAAACAAGTGAACAGGAGCCAAAAACACTGAAGACTGCTCCTGCTCACAGGCCTGCTGCTGCCAAAGAGGACTATTCATAATCTGAGCCTCATTTGGGCCGTTCCACATTCCTACTAAAGCAAAAATAAACAAACCTGAGAGGACACACAAAGGATTACGTTAGTGTTAGACTACAGAACTCATGGAGACAATATTAAAACTATTTTAGCTTATGAAATCCACATTTATAAAAATTAAGTGCACAACATTAAAAAAAAAAAAAACATTTGCAAGATATTATAAAGGCTGCTTTGCGTTATACCTCGTGTTTCTCAACTAGTTCACTGAAAAGGAAACCTTTGATACCTTGATACAGGACAATGTTAAAGTGACAGTAGAAACCAAGAGGAAAAAGGAAGAGAGAGCGAAAAAGGAAGAAGGAAGGAGGGATAAAAGTATAAAAAGATTTTAAAAACAAACAAAATTTGAAATGTAAACTTCGGTGAGCTTTACATATGACTCAGAGAAAAATAAAGAAAGATAAGAGGAAATAACGAAGGGAACAAAGAAGGAAAGAAAGTTAGGATAGAAGAAAGAAGGAGAGAAAGATTAAAAGTTTTTTTTTTTAAATACATTGAAAATGTAAATATATCAGCATTTCAAATGTTGTTTCGAATATATGACATTTAGGTCAGAAAAAGCAAGAAAGGAAATAAAAGAAAAACAGGAAGGAAATGTGCATATCTAAGAATTTTGGCCATATATTCAGAAAGATATAACTAAGGGTAAATGATCAAAAGAAAGAAACTAAGAAAGAAAGAAAGTATTGATTTTACGGTTACTTTTTACGGGACTTAAACAGAGCACGTTACACGCCCCTCTTCATCATCATCATCCCTGACACTCCCACAATGCAGCGGGGCAATGTATTAACATGGCGTCAATGGTCGCTGTTTTGACCAGGGCCGTTGGATTTGGAAAATATTATGTGAAACAGAATCATGGAGACCGCTGAACACTAACTCAAAACCAACTCAAAAGCTCAGAGTAAGTCACGTCTTCCTCTCGTGTGGTTTATGAGCTGAAGGCGCTTCCGGTTGTTTCTAAAGACTTGATGTTGTGTGGAAACTGAGTGCCAGTGTTATTTATTTCCTGAAGCTAGCTCGACCGGGCACAGCGGCTCGTGTTGGTTAGCATACCGGGACGGCTAACGGCAAGCTCTTTACACTGAAAACAATTAATAATGTTCCGCTTGTACTATGATACGTTTTTGGTAAAATTACGAACGTTTCCCTCCGCCGCGGGCACCGGTTTCCCCTCAGCCCGCCCCCCAACTAATCCTCTCTGTTTTGGAAGTTGGGCTAACGGTAAGTCCCGGTGTTGTGTTTAAGTCTGTTTCCTTTCTGAAACAGATGTTGGGCTTAAGCGCAACTAGTCGCGTCTGGGTGTGTGTTTCGGGAAAACGGCCGTTCAAAGCTATCTAAAGTTAGTGCTAAACGGCGAGCCTCCGAGCAGATTTACGCCTCTCTGTGTGGGAGGTGTGTTTGTGGGCTCGATCACTTTCGTTTTAACTGAAATGGACTCCGTCATTTTAAAGAGCACTATCAACTGCGTTAAAACTAAATTGAAACTCCATAAAACAATTACTTTCTCTTCTGAATCTCAAGTTGCTATACTCTGATGTCTTATTGCTACGTTTACAGAAAAAAATACACACTTAAACCACAGTTCTGCCTCTTTAATTCAGTAACATTCCACATCTGAAGGTCGTTGAATACACCTGTAAATTTTTGCTGATTTAGAGTTTATGACCATGATGTTTAAAAATGATATAACTCGATTATATTAGTACATTCTAAACCACTGAATAAATGTTAATATCCCAGTTATATATAAACTAGTATGGCAGTGTTTATTATATGTAGGACACAGTGATTACATGGAACATGAGAAAGATTGTAATTCATGATTTATGATCACATAATCTACAGACTTATTAGAATTATTCAACATCTCGGTCACTTTGCGAAAGTTTCCAAACCTATATTGGGTTTTTATTATTCGCAGTATCCTGCCTTTTGTTTAGAATCAAAGCATAAATGAGTTAGTATTTGAGCAAGACAAAACAAGGATACTCATAAAATCTTTATCTAATCCTAACCAACATGCTTCTGAAACAAAGTGTCCGATCATCTTTATGGGTGGACATGTGACTGTGATAGGATTTTTTTTCAGGATTTATTGACCTTACAGCTAATTAAAAGTATCCCCAAAGAGTGATTGAGACAGCTATGCCCATAAGTTATTTTTAGACAAATGTATTTATAGTCCTGCCCTTCAATACTGTGTTCAGTGGACGCCGTAAGTCATCCTTTATTTCTTTATATTTCCTTCTAAGCTGCCAGACTTTCTTTAATCTTTTAAAGTGGTCCAGAGCTGCAGTTCTCCATTTGTTCTTTAGTCATATTTTCATGCCAAAGTTCTGCTGGGTTCTTAACATTATTGAAGCAGTGTGGATCATCTGACAGAGAACGGAACAAAAAGCAGCCCACATCCAAAGAAGAGCTTTGGGATGTCCTTCAAGAGGCCTGCAGAACTATTCCTAAAGACTCCTTAAAGAATGGACACAGAGTGTGTCTCAGTTTGGGTGATTTTTGCTGAAGAATCTTTCCTGTATGCATCCATCTTGTTTTCTTCATAGTTGGACTGATGGCTCTAATCCTCTCTCTTCTCACAGATTTTAGGTGTCTGGCCTCCTTGGTCATCTTCTCTGTGGTGTTGACTTCACCGGGGACACGGGCAGCAGGAACGGAGGGATGGATGATTCAGTCAGTCCGGTGAAATCAGTGAAGCAGTCCCAGTCCAGAGGAACCAAGGCTTTGTCCACTCACAAGTCAAATAAAGAGACTTCTATGCAGAGAGAGGGCACCAAGTCTGCAGCACACAGCAAAGAAAAGGATGATCATAACTCAGGCAGCAGCCAGGTAAGTGGTGCTGCAGGCAAGACATTCACAGACAGCCCTCTGGACAAGAAGAGGGGGCGGCCCACCAGACTGGCCAGACTCACCGGAAGAACCAGTTCCGGGGAGAGAGGTAAAGGCAGAGGGGCCAGCTCTCAGAACCCGCTGGCTGCACAGGCCCCTGAGTCCAGAGCAGCTGTCTCTGCAGACAGCAGCTCATCGGCAAACAGAGAGAGCAGCCCTCCTGTTGCCCCTGCAACACCTGAGAAGGGCCTCGCCGGGCAGTCCAGGAGCTCCACTGGAGGCCTGGCCAAAGAGAGGCCGCATGGTGGGTGTGAGGAGGTCTTCCCTGGTAGGGTCAAAACTTCTTTCCGAAAAGCTAAAAGCTCCATCTCTGCTTGTAGTGGTGAAAGCTGCCCTGATGCATCGGTCTGCTGAGGAGGCTGCTGAGGGGAGGCCTGCTGTGGAGGAAGGACTCCTCACCGAGCAGCAGCTGGGCCTCCGACAGGCTGAGGAGCGCCTCTACAGAGACTACATCCATAGGCTGCTGAAAGTAAGGAGACACCCGCTGTCCCCGTCCAATGGTGACTTCCAGCAAGCATCATAGCTGTGACGTCACATGAGGGAAATACCGCCACAGACACTTTTTGTGTCGTCATAATCTTTAAACTCATATTGTGTTCTGCATTTTCTGGTTTTGAAAACAGCTTCCATTCTTCCTCTGATTGTTCTGGTATATTTTTGCCAGATTTTATGACACTTCTTGGTTTCTTTACGTGTCTTGGTTTTGTTTTTTTTCTTTTTAAATTTATTGTCTTTTTTCTGGTAGTTTTGGTCAGAATCTCTTTGGTTATCTTGTATCTTCTTGGGGTTATTTTATGTCTTATGGATACATTCATGTGTTTTTGTAGACTTATTGTGTCTTTTTCTGTTTGTTTTTTGTCAGGGTTTTACTATTTTCAGATAACTCTATATGTAACCCAATTCCCACATTTCTATTCAAATTTCAGCCAACTCTCTGGGCTTCTCAGAGAAGTCAGAAATAAATCAAGCAGATCATTAAACTACTACACTATCCTTCGATTCATTAATTTTAGGAAATTGATAGAAATTGACATCTTGGTAAGAAATAATAATATACATGAATATTTTGTCATTTTTTTGTAAAAAATATATGAAAATGCATTGATAACAATAACAATTCTATTTGAGTGTTAAAATCTCATTTGGGCTGGAGAGCATCTACATACTATTAACGATCACAAGAGGTATTTTACTGCTCATTTGCAGGTTGGAATGATACATTTATTGTTTTTTTTAATTAATTAATTATTTTTGTTGCGTCTCTGAGCTGACAGCCACACTGTGGACGAGTGCACACATCTGTCTGATAATGCCACCATAGCACTTCACACCTGTGCTGCTTTGAAAGTGAAATACAGACGTGGTCACCGGTCGCCCCCCCCCCCATCACATCAACTTTCATGTGCCATCAGGAAAGCAGGGCTGGTCTGAAAGGCTTTAAATTGCCTAAAAACACAGATAACTCCAATCATATACATAATGATTGATAAATTGCTGGCAGGCTTTCATGTTGGTGCGTCTGAAAGCTGTTTGAGCCGCTCACGGTCCGGTTTGCTCTGTTTGTGGAATCGAACGACACAGACAGGTTTCACCCAGACATTGAGAATCGGTTTCATCCAGCTTAAAACTCTTGAAATATAGAACATGCAAATTCATGGTTTCTGTCCTTTTTATAAGAGGATGTACACTTTCCTGATTTGATTAACTAACTTAAATATTGACCGTTTTAACTCTCATCACTTATTAAGTTATTTTTCTGACCAAAAGGCTGCAAGTGCCTGTTTGTTTTTTACCCGTGGGACAGAGGAGGTGCTCCTCACTGAGCAGAATGAGCCCTCAGTTTGTAAAAAAAAAAAAAAAATTGTGAGCACAAATTGCATTTGAATTGATTCTGAGGAGATATTTTAGTTGTTTGTTTGCTGAAGGTGTAAGTAAGTTTTTGTTTTCTTTCTCTAACCCGGTTTTGTGTTTTTTCTGTCGGTGTCTTCTGGAATCATGAACACGGGTCGTTGGGCTTTGTCTCCACAAACTGATCACCGTCTCCTCTTTTTGTTTCCACAGCAGTCCCCCGAGTACCCAAACTATCAATACTTATGCAAACTCTGTTCGGTGCACATCGAGAACATCCAAGGGGCACACAAACACATCAAGGAGAAGAGGCACAAGAAGAACATAATGGTAAGCGATGTTTGGGCCGTGGTGGCCAGTCCTCGTCAAGTAGGGGAGAAAGTTGCTGATTCTGGCTGTGGCTTGTTAGGAGAAGCAGGAGGAGAACGAGCTGAGGGCTCTGCCGCCGCCCTCTGCCGGCCAGATGAGGGCCGTGGACGCCACCGTCCTGGAAACTGCCAGGCAGCAAGGGATCTCAGAGGAGGACTTTGAGGTCCGGAAGGCCGTGGTCACCAGGATGGAGGAGATCATAAAGAGGCACCTCTCAGGTTGGATTTCTTTTCTGTTCTTCGTGTCATGCAGGTGCAAAAATCTGTGTGTTTTTTCTGAGTTCCAACGTGTGATCTTGGCTTTTCCAGCCTGCTCCCTTCGTCTTTATGGTTCCTGTCTCACCCGCTTTGCCTTCAAGACCAGTGACATCAATATCGACGTCACTTACCCCTCCACCGTAAGCCCCGATCTCACAAGGTGGTGGTGCATGTGTTCAGCCCATCTGAATCTCTTCTGTGGTTTTTGTTTTTGCTCAGATGACACAACCCGAAGTCCTGATCCAGGTGCTGGAAGTCCTCAAAAACAGCCGTAAGTTTTCCTGAGTGAAACTTATATGGAACTTTGCCTTTTCCTGTTGCCTTGAAAATGTTTACATTTTATGAGGAAAATGAACAGAAAAGGGGGCTTACTGCTTCAGTGCTGCCTGTCTGTAAAGTGTCCAAAGTCGTTTAAATCTTAACATTTGTCCCTTTTTTCTTTCCTACAGCTGAGTTTTCTGAGGTTGAATCTGATTTTCATGCCAAAGTTCCTGCTGTGTTCTGTCGGTGTCGGAGCAGGTAAGTGTAGCTTCTAAAGCATTAACACACAGCCGAAAGCTTGAAAAAAAAGCTGCCCCTCATTACTGTACATTCTCAGACCTTTTCTCTCAATTTCAGTCCAGTCGTTGTAGCTGAGCATTTCAGAGGATTGTCTTTTTTTTGTTAAGCGACTTAGCTTCCAGCTGTGAATCATTCAGGTGCAAAAAAGGCCCCTAACTCAAGGGCTGATTCTGTGTTGTGTCTACACAGAACAGGCAACTTACCAAAGAAGCTATTTAAATTGGCTCTTTAGGCTTTTTGTTATTAGCAGCCTGTTAAAAAGTCTCATCAGTTTTTCCAATTTCTCTAGTTGATGTGTTAAAAAATGCCAAAGATAACACAGATAGAGAGAAAGAAAACTGAACTTTTTAAGGCCACATCAAGCTGATTCCCAAAGAGCTATTGGCTGAAAACTTGGTTCAGGCTGTGCTGGAGAATAAAGGAGCTCATAGCAGAGATTCAGTTTACGCTGTATGGTCAGCTCAGAGCACATTTACAGTCTGACTTTGTTTCAGTGAGAACATGTTTGTGTCTTCTTCTCAGCGGCCTGCTGTGTAAAGTGAGTGCAGGTAATGATGTTGCCTGTCTCACCACCAATCACTTGGCAGCCTTGGCTAAACTGGAGCCCAGACTGGTTCCACTGGTTCTGGCCTTCCGCTACTGGGCACGGGTAAGACTGGCCGGAACACTTCATCAGAGGGAAGCAGCCATAAAGTCTCCGTTTACTCTTGTTCTCATTGAAACGGGTCAAACTGCTCCCCTTTGTGCTCACAGTTGTGCCACATCGACTGCCAGGCTGAAGGCGGCATCCCCTCCTACTCCTTCGCCCTGATGGTCATCTTCTTCCTGCAGCAGAGAAAGGAGCCCATCCTCCCCGTCTACCTGGGCCGCTGGGTGAGGCAATCTGTGTAAAAGACAGCTTCCAGTCCTTCCCAGTGGTTTAAATGTGGCACTGGAGATGAGGGGAATGGTGGATTTGAACCTGCATCTGCTGCTATGGGTTCTTATTTAAAACACCAACAACAAAAATATGTTTTAAATTAACTTATTATAGTTTTATAGTCAGCCAGACAGGAAAGTGAAGTGTCAGAGGAAGCATATTTGGTCTGGTTGAATAATTAATTTCCCCCTCAGGTCAAATTTATATTCATAGTTCCACAAATGTAATATAAAATAACCTATGTAACCAACATTTTTTCCACTAAAAGCAAGAAATCCTCTGTATCGTTTAAATAAGTTTAGATAAATGTGTTCTGGAATATCTTGTGTCACGAGGAACCTGGTAGGAAAAGGTAGGAGCCTTTCAGTTAAAAATAAGAGTAAACTGCAGTGACAATATTTCTCCACCTGGTTCAGGTTTGGTCTCTAAATTGCAGGAAATGGACCAAAGCATCACTCCAGTACAGACAGATTATTTTTCTTGTCTGGATAAACTCTTGAACTCAAGCTTAAACAAACCAGTTGAAGCCCAAGAATTTGAATGGCTCCTTCTGCTTTTTCCACCACAGGTTGAAGGCTTCGACTTGAAACGCGTGGATGAATATCATCTGACTGGAATCGTGCTGGACACGTATGTGAAGTGGGAGCACAGACCTCCGAGCTCCACAGACGGACGAGGGGAGAACCGAAACGAGGACCGGGGAGAAGGCAGATCCAGAGCTGAGCAGAATAAAGCTGATGATGTTAAGTATTCAGAAGGCAAGGTGAGTCGGAATTCAGCTTATGTGATCCAGTACTGCGTAAAAGTTTGTGAAGCCTTCGAAATGTTCTATGTTTCTGCTTAAATACGACATCATGGATAATAGATCGAAATTAAACAAATGAGATAAAAATATTATACTAGGCATCACTTTATTTTCCAAGTGCGAGGAAGCAGTGAGGTCCTGTTTTAACTGACCTCTGCTGCTTTCTATATAGAGCCGCCTCACCGTTGGGCCGGCTAAAAGGGCCACGCTGGGCCAGCTGTGGCTGGAGCTCCTCCGCTTCTACACTCTGGAGTTTGCCCTGGAGGAATACATCATCAGCATCCGCCTAAAGGAGCTCCTCTCCAGGGAGGGGAAGAACTGGCCTCGCCGCAGGCTCGCCATTGAAGGTCAGAGAACATGTCGTTGGAAAACTCCTCAACATTCTGTGCAGATTTTCACAACATAGCTTAATGACTCCATTTCCACTTTTCAGATCCTTTCGCTTTGAAGAGAAATGTTGCCCGTAGCCTGAACAGCCAGATGGTGTTTGAGTACATCCAGGAGCGCTTCCGTACAGCCTACAAGTACTTTGCCTGTCCTCAGAAGAGGGGCAGTGGAGGACGCCAAAGCGCAAAGGAAGGGGGGCAGGGTGTGAAGAAGGAAGCTCGTACGGACGAAGATGAGCACGATGGAAAAAATGAAAGAAGTCCGAGCGCTCCGGGGGGGCGGCGGGGCTCGAAGGAGGCCAAGGAGCCTGACAGTGATGATGACGATGGTACAGACCGGTCCAGGCAAAGGGATGAGAGGCCTTTAGATGCTGGTCTAATGGACATGGTGCTCAATGAACGGAACAAAGCCTCCCTCTCCCCCAACGGCCTGCTGGACAGTGATGAGGAGGAAGAGGAAGAGGAGGGAAACAGGGTTCCTGAGAGGGCCGTGCCCCCGACATCAGAAGACGACTTGCACTATGTGTTTGATAAGATGATTTTCACTGGTGGGAAGGTAAATATTTAAAATAACACTACCCTGTCTGAACCTAATGTTAAAGCGGGATTGTTCACCAGTTTCCATTAATCTGGCGCCTCCAGCTGTTGCAAAACATCTGCGTTTAATTACACGCACAGCTGTTATTAACTAGGTAATATCTGTCTTAGATTCTTCCTGGTTTTTTAAAGTAACAAATGACTTTCTGCCCATTTAAGAAAAACAGGAAAAAAAACGGTCTACACACAGGGTTGTTCTGTGGCTGTTTGCAGAATTTATCATGACACATGAGTCATGAAGGACAATGGCTTAAACTCCCCAAAGCAGAAGTAATCCACAATTTTTCAGAATTATTCTGCTATTGCTGCTAAACCAGCATATGGAGCGCTCCCTCTGACGTTGGGTTAATGTGTCACCGCCTTCTCCCCGCCAGCCTCCGACCGTTGTGTGCAGCATCTGCAAACGAGACGGCCACCTGAAAGACGAGTGTCCCGAGGACTTCAAGAAGATCGAGCTGAAGCCTCTGCCTCCCATGAATGAGCGCTTCAGAGAAATCCTGGACGGACTCTGCAGATTGTGCTACTGTACGCAGTGACTCCCCTTTTTCTTCCTGTTTCCTGGTTTTCTGTCTGTTGAAAGCGCCATGTCACATTTTTTGCTCTTCTGAAAGTGAAAGTAAACATAAAAAACATTTTAGTATCCAACCAGATGAAATTGGATATTTTTGGCTTGAGACTGAATTGTCTAACTGATTTTTTGTAGATGAATTGTCCCCTTCCCATATTGAGCAGCAGAAGAGGGAGCAGATCCTGGCTGGCCTGGAGTGGTTTATAAGGAAGGAGTACAATGGTGAGTCTTTAGCATAAACTGAGGACAAAAAGCAAACTCAGTCACGCCTTTTTGTTTAGTTTTTAAATTTGTTTTCAAATCCACAGATAAAGCTCAGCTCTGCTTATTTGGGTCCTCCAAAAATGGTTTTGGCTTCCGGGACAGCGACCTGGACATCTGCATGACTCTGGAGGGTCATGAGACTGCGGAGGTTAACAGAAAGCACACACAGCTATTGGATTAAATAACCTGTTCTCTCCTCATATTCTGCCTAACGTTTGGCTTGGGACTCTTCAACAGAAGCTGAATTGTAAAGAGATCATTGAAGGCCTCGCTAAAGTGCTGAAGAAGCATACAGGTGAGTCTAAGATTAGTTGCTGATCTCTTTCAATTTTTGGCGAGCAATGGCGAGTGATTAACTTATTTTTTCACTGCGGCAGGTTTGAGGAACATCCTGCCTATCACCACAGCTAAAGTGCCTATCGTGAAGTTTGAACACAGACTAAGCTGTCTAGAGGGAGATATTAGCCTTTATAACACCCTGGTGAGTGGATAAGGCCTCAGGAAACACTCCCCGGTCCCTTTTGTTGAGTGTCTGTTGGGAATTCACTGAAATGTCTCTGTAGGCTCAACACAACACCAGGATGTTGGCCACATATGCAGCTCTGGATCCACGTGTGCAGTTCCTGGGGTACACCATGAAGGTCTTCGCAAAGGTCTGAATTCTTCCTAAACTACTCCTTTAACAACTGAGATACACAGAATAAAAGAAGGAGCATGGCATTGGTCCATTTCCTCATTATTAACCCATTATTATAAAAACTCTTTCATTTTTAACTAATTTTCAAGTCTTTACGTAGGCAATTTATAGCTGTAGAAAAAAGGCCTCCTCAAGTTGTATGATTTGGGTGATAATATGCTGGATGAAATGCACCAAATGTTTTTGATTGTGTACTTTGAATGAATTACTTTGAAATACTTTGAATCCTTTACTGTTTCCCAACCTTCGCTGCTCCAGCACACCTGCTGCAGATGGATGGGTCTCCATCGGCCTTGTGCAGGGCTTAGAGCATTTAAATCTGCTGTCTTGGAGCAGGAAAGGTGGATAACAATTGCAGTGTGGGGAAACCCTGCTTTAACCAGCCTCTTTTGGTCCTCTGCTGTGCTGTTTGTGCTGGCAGCGCTGCGACATTGGGGATGCCTCCAGGGGAAGCCTCTCCTCCTACGCGTACATCCTGATGGTGCTTTACTTCCTCCAGCAGAGGCAGCCGCCAGTCATTCCCGTCTTGCAGGAGGTACCGGCTCCCCTCGGTGACTTGTACTATGTGCACGCCTCGAATCAGATAAAAACAGCTGTGTGTTGTGCCTGCAGATCTTTGATGGTAACGCTGTTCCCCAGAGGATGGTGGATGGATGGAACGCCTTCTTCTTTGACAACCTCGAGGATCTGGTGAGCTGAATTGAATAAAAGTTCACTTTCCCCAAAACGTCGCCTTGAGATTTCAGGTTAAACGTGGCTGCCGGTTGTCAGACGTTTGCTTCTTTTGCCCACACAGCGGCGGCGTCTCTCCGACCGTCAGCCCAACACGGAGTCGGTGGGGGAGCTGTGGCTGGGGCTCCTCCGCTTTTACACAGAGGAGTTTGACTTTAAGGAGCACGTCATCAGCATCCGGCAGAGGAAACGTCTCACAACGTTTGAGAAACAGTGGACCAGCAAGTGCATCGCCATTGAAGGTGCATGCACAGCTCCGCCCCGCCTCAGCCGCCTCCCTTTTCCACCGGGACTCACTCTCTCCTCACATGTGTTCTTCTCCTCAGATCCCTTTGATTTGAATCATAACCTTGGGGCAGGCGTTTCTCGGAAAAGTGAGTCAAGATAACTGTCGTCTTATGCTCATTGTGCAGGTTCCCAGGTTTGTTTCAGGGATCTAAAGAAGCACACCCACAGAGAAAAGTCTTATAGTTCCCACTATTTAACCTGTTTTCTTCTTATTTTTTAACATAGATCATCATATTTAAACATGATGTGCAGGGTTTCTAGGTGTTGGTGGCAAAAAGATGGTGAATGATAAATGTTTGCCTGCTTTTTAAAAAAAGAAGCTTCCATCCTTTTGTGTGTCCCTTTAGCTGTGATTAAAGCAGTGAAAATCGGGCCTTCTGTTGTATCTCTCTGCTGTCACACCTTCATTCAGCCCCCATTAGTCATTTACCACTCAGCGTGTCGGCACTGGTGACTGACTCCACTGGGAATCTGTTAATGTGACACTTTTTACAGCCTCTCCGTGTCTACAGCTCTCATTACAGGTCTTTACCTCCTTGGAGACTCTTCCTGGGAGGGAATTTCAGCTTCATGTAACTTTTTCTGCTTCCTTATGCCTCCTCCTTATTCTTTTCCAGTGACAAATTTCATCATGAAGGCCTTCATCAATGGAAGGAAGCTGTTTGGAACACCCTTCTTCCCCATCCCCGGCACTGAAGTGGTACGTCCCCCCCAGGCTCGACTACTCCTCTCCCACATGCCCTCACTGATATTTGATATTATTTGTGTTCTGCCGCAGGACTACTTCTTTGACTCAAAGGTGTTGACAGACGGCGAGCTGGCTCCCAACGACAGGTGCTGCAGGATCTGTGGAAAGATCGGACACTACATGAAGGACTGTCCAAAGAGGCGCAGGTGGTTGTCTGCAATATCTGGAGAGTGCTGGAGCATATTAATGTTTTGTGCCCATCTTTAGATTAGTCTAGGCTGAGCGTCAGCTAAAAAGAAACTCCCTAATTTCCCCCCTCTGAGGTTAAAGGTTGAGGTTGGATAAAGTGGATTAATTCTTTAGAAGTGTGTCTCTCCACCCCTGAACTGACCATGAACCCAGTTAGACTGCGTCATCCTTTACTCTTATCAGCTGCCTAACCATGAAAATAATCATGATTTGATGTGTAACAGCTCTAACTGCTTTTCTGTTTCAATGTTTTTCTCTTTCAGGATGAAGAAGAAAGAGAACGATAAAGACGAGGATGTGAAAGAGGAGGACCGGGAGACTAAGGACAGGCGCTGCTTCCAGTGCGGGGACCCGGGCCACGTCCGCAGGGACTGCCCCGAATACCGCCACCTGAAGCAGAGGAACGCCGGGACGGCAGGTGGGCCTCTATTCACGGGGGTTCTGGGTTTTAGATGTTCTCTCTGGATATCTACATCGGTGGTTATGTTGGAAAACCAGAAATGTTCAAAGCAGCTTCTCTGTCCCTCCTCCCCAGCTCCTCACGTGGTGCGAACAGTGGCGAGCTCCCAGTCCATTCCCGTTCCCCTCTCAGCTGCCGACTGTCCTGGAAGGACCCGGCAGTCCTCTGAATGTGTGAGTTCAGGCTTTTCGTCTCTTCTCCCAAAAACGTGAAACGGGCGACGACGTGAGCTAAGTGTTGTGCTTTCTGTGTGCAGTCTGACAGCCGGCAGACTCCGCCCTACTCCCCGCAGCCCGCCGCTGCCCCCCAGAGTTCCTCCCAGTCCTCTGGTTCCCCTCAGCCCTCCCACAGCAAAACCAGCCCAGCTGGTGTCCAGAAGCAGCCGGCCCACCCGCAGGTGCCGCTGCCTCTCTTCAGCTTTCCTACCTCCCGCCCAGCGCAGTATCACCCGGGGGCGCTCACAGCTCTGGGGCTTCTTCCCTCCCACCAGCACCACCCACACCAGTCCCAGGGGCAGCCTCACCACCCAGTCCACATCCCCTCCACGTCCTGGCCGATCCACGGCCCAGTCCTCACTTCATCTGCTCCCACCATCCCCTCCCCACCCGGCCTGAAATTCGCCCTGCGTTCGGCCTCGAGTCCCAACAGCTCGGGGGGGAACCCCAACCCCATGAATCTGAACGACCCGAGCATCATCTTCGCCCAGCCGGCGGGGAGGCAGCTGGGCATCGGGGGGCCAGGACTGGAGGCGCACTGGCACAACCACTTGGCACAACAGGGCTCACTCATGGGAAATGGCACTGTGGTCAAGTCAGGTATTCACCGGGTGAACTTTGGGGCATTTAATGACACAGTAATGTGCAAAGGTCTTCTCCACTCTCATTGTTTTATATATCAGTGCAAAGTGACCATTTCCTCTGCCAGTAAGTTGGGATAAAATGGGCAGAAGTTTACTGAAACATGGTCACAGTAAAATAGTCCGATTCTGCAGTTTACAGTGAATCTTTGCCCAGAGCTCCTTTATTCTCCGGCACAGCTTTAACCCTCCTTAACCAGCTCTGTGTCCTTTCACACACTGCACACCATGCTGAAATATGATAGTTTTCAGCCAATAGCTCTTTGGGAATCAGCTATAATGCTGTTTTCTGTCTATCAAACTGTTATCTTTGTGTGGACATACCACTGGCTCATCCCTTGAGTTAAGGGAGTTTTGTCTGCTTGATTGATTCAGTGACTGATAATTATTGCTAAAAAAGACCATTTGAAAAGATTGAGGAAAGTGTAAGAATATAAAGAAATGAGAGCAGGATCAGGACTTTTGCTTTTTATGATATTTAGACAAATTGTTACCTTACTTATGATACCTCTTATGTTTAGACTCAGAATGCTTCCAAAATGCAGAACATGCAGTAACATTTTTAACCAGCTTGTTCAAAATTTTATCAAAATCTCCCTTTATGTTCTCAGAGTCAGGCCACCAAGCCCAGTCTGTCGGTGTGAGCCAAGGTTCCCGCTTATGGGAGCACAACAAACCCCCCCAGTACACCCTGTCCCCCTCCTGGCCCTACAGGATGCCCCAGAACTTCATCCAGCAGGGAAACGGAGGCTTCCAGCCTGGGAAACCCTTCATGGCTCCAGGTCAGAGATGAGAATAAAACACAACGTCAGGTTTTACGTGGCAGTTGAAACCCTTCAGCTGTGCTGAGCCTGACCTTTTCCTTCCCCCCCCCTCTTTAAAGGCTCCGTGGTGCATCCCAATCCAAACTTCCCACTGGTCCCTCACGTCCGGCATCAAGTCAACCTGAATTTTATCCAACAGAAGAAATAAAGTTGCATCTTTTTAATTAGGTTTACGGTCAGTAATGAAGCAAAATCATGTACTCTTTGCATCACATGAAAGTTTTTAAAATGAATTTTATCATTTTTGTACAGTTTTTATGTTTTTTTTTTGTCTCATTACATTGATTTGTGATACAAATGTCAAATATTTTAATACCCCCGTTTTTGAGGGGGTCCAAAAGTGTTTTTATGTTGTGTGTAAAGTAAGGAGGAAAGATGCAAACCTTTATTTTTATCAGCTGTGTTCAGACTTTGCTTGCAGCTAGATGAAGGCTTTGAATAGATGTTTGTTTTAAAAACAATCTAACGTGTCCCCGCGAGTATGTAGTGCCAAAAGCAGAGCTAGCAAGAAAAAAGGGAAAAAAAAGCTTAAAGATAGAAAAAGCTACAAAAATAAAGAAAAAAGCAAGCAGCTGTGTTGTGTGTCGTGGCTTCATTTACTTCATGAACGCTCATTTCAGCAGGTCCGAGGAAAAGCTGCTCAAAAAGCAAGTTAGGTGCTCCATTTTGCATTCCCACTGACTGAAAAGGTCCCTGGGAGTGTGTTCTGCTCTGTAATTACTGCCCTCTTGGTGATTCCTGCTCACGATCCGCTGCACGCCACCAGGGGGAGCTGTCACATACTGCCAAACTGAGGAGACACCAAAGCGGCTTTTCATACTTCTCGTTTTAACCGGTACAGTAAGCTCTTTCCCCTACAGTCCAGATGTTTAGACCTGCAGCTGCATTGTTAAAAAAGCCGGAACTTCGACCAAAAGGAGCTGTCCAGCCCTGTTTGTAAAAGCACAACCGAAAACGGCGTTTAGTGCTTATTACCTTTACACGTGGAAGGAATAGAGCTGATGGAGTGTGTTCTGTTTTTTATCCCCTACCCATGAATTACCAGCACGTGTGTCCTGTCAGTCAAAGATGCTGAAGGTTGGATCACTGGGTACGATGCGGTGTGCTGCTCAGCAGGAGGCGTTCCCGAGGGCTTTTTCAGGGCCTGTTTGATGAAACAGACCCCCTGCTGCTCCTTCAGCTTCAGCAAGGCAGGAAGTATAACATGACATGAAAAACAAACTGAGCAGGAAATATGATTCTCAGTGGGTTTAGAGCAGAGTGTTCACATGTTTGTTGTTTCACACCCTCCAGACCCATGTGTGGGATCTTATTTTGGGTTGCTTTGTAGCCTGTTGCTTTCTTTTTAATAAGATTGTTTAAAATATGTAAGCAGCACAGGGTAATCACATGGTTTCCTGAGAGAGGAGCAACATCAGAGCCCAAACCCACATGAGGAACGAGTGTTTCATCTGCTAAAACAAGGAATTAGTCAGGTCTGCATGGTGTATATTTAGAGCCCTGCAGTCTTTGTCCTTTAGAACACAGAGACGTTTGAGAAGATGCACACCATTCTCAGATGTAATGGTCCTCTGACAGCTTTAATCTTAACTCACGCACAGGGTCTGGCATCGTTGTGGTAGTATTGGCTCAATTTAAGTGACGTCCACAGGGTCCATAGGTCTAAAGGGTTCAATAAGACGCTGGTCCCCCCTTCGCTGCTATAGAGGCTTCGACTCTCCTGAGAAGGCTGAGCACAAGGTAACAAGTTCTGTTTAATCTAAAATTCAGGCCATTACATCTTTATAAATTAGCTTGATATCCAGGTTCAGAGGAATATTTGGTCTAATTTGAGCCACTTTTGGCTTTTAAACCTGAAAAACTCCACCCCCAGTTTGTAGCACAAACGCCTGAAAGGACAAACTCACAAGAAAAAGGCTGCAGGTTCTGAGCTGGCTTCACCTGAGGGGCAATGACAGGATGAGGCTGTAGGTTCGCTATCATTAAACATCTGTTTCATACTTGAAGAAGACAGCATGAAGTCTCACTTTCCTACAGGTTTTTCCACACTGCACCTTTTAGGCCTGATCCAGGATCCGTGGAACACTTCACTGGTTAAAGGTACTTCCTCTCTCCCTCTGTCCAGCTGTGCCTCGCTACAGAAATGAACAAGAGAGCTGACTTTAATTTCATAGAAACATTAATTAAAAAAGATTTTACTAATTAAATTTCCAGAGCTGATAAGGACACACCTTTTGATAAGAGGGCTAAGAGGAGATAAAGGGTCTAATTACATTAATTAGTCTATGCCTGAGGGAAAAATCTGAGTCAATAAGTTCTAGCTTTCTAATCTTTTCATTGAGAAAAGCAGGAGGTGGAGTTCTGTACAGCTTTGGGTAAAACCACACGAGGCCGGCCTCTGCTCGTTCGATTTGCAGGTATTAAGACGTTAAACTGTGGAAATGGCCTCTCATTCTTCCTGGATTTAATGTCCTGCTACCACTGAAGCCTGAAAGTCAAACACAAATCTTTGTAGGTCCAGGTGGAACCCAGAGCCTGTTTGCCGACGGGTCGGTCCTCCATGGCCGTGTGGTTCCCCGGGTCCACTGAGTCTGAACATTATGAGGAGAGCAGGAGAATCACAAAGAGCTGCTCACTTCTTAACCCATCTGTCCTCAGGGGCCTCTTCCAGGTGCTTTGGTTTGATTACTTTGTGTTTTTTGTGGATTTCTGTGACAGTGCAGTTTCTTTGAGGTCATTTGGTTACTTTTTGTGGTTGTTTTGTTTGTCTTTGTGATTGTTTTCTGTCTTTTTGTAGGTTCACGCAACACTGCCCCATCCCTTGAGTTAGGGGCATCATCTCCGCCTGAAGGATTCATAAGTTAAGTGGCTTCACAAAGAAAAAAACACATTCTGAAAATGCTCAGTTACAAAGACTGGAGTGGAAATTATTGAAAAAGCAGAAAATGTCCAAAGAAAAAAACGGAACTGCTTATATCTTCATTGTTTGCATAATTAAAGAGACAGAAACTGGGAAAATTGTGCATTATTTGCACTTTTTGCCAAAAATCTCATCATGACTTTGCAGACAGGCTAAAATGTCAACATGCAAAAGAAATGCAACGAAATGCGGACTCGTTTTAGCTGAATAACCACCACAGCTGTCAGACAGCCCTCACCGGGGATTCTGTGTCTTTTCCAAACCTCACCCTGTCGGCTTCTCTTACTTAAGTGAGTCAAACAAAGTCAATTAACTTTGAAGTCACTGAGTCACAGAGCCGAATGTGCGGCTCATTTTCCGCTTAAAAATCTGAGAGAACTCATGAGTCTGAGTGTGTAGAGAGCCAGTGGTGATTTTACCGTAATTACCTTTAGTTCATCTTGAAAGGTCTGGAGTGAAAAGAGTCACTCAGATTATCTTCTGAGAGACGTTCAGCCGCCTGCGTCTGATCCCCAACCATCAGCAGGGGTCCCCCTTCACTCCCAATCTGAACAAGGTTTGCCTTCCACTGATAACAGGAGTCCGGGCTGTCTGAACATGCACCCAGTAGCTGAGATAAGGAAGAAAATTACACAAAGGGGAAAGAGCTCAGAACAAATAAAAGCAACACTGCAGGGTTTTTTATCTCCGGGCCGAAACCTCTGTGGACGTCTCTCCGTTTGTCTCCGGAGGGGTTCCTGCCACGTATCCGAGACAAATTGATCACTTCTCGGGTCATCTTGGTCTCGTTAACCTTCGCCTGAGTGTAAATGACTTGTAGGATGGAACAACTGTGTCTGAACACAGCGGGCTCCGCTTTTCTCCCCACCGGCTGGGAGGGGGCGCATTGATCAGAGCCTGGCGTCGGGGATCTCCAGCTCTCCTGCTGCGCTCTCGGCCATCCATCACCTGTCCCACTCCGGTTCACATGGCAGCGTCATTTAGCATCTTTATAAATGCCTCCCGCTCCACGCGTCCGCACAGGAAACAAGCGACGCACAGAAATGTCCTTCAGCGGTCACTTTCCACAGGACGAAGCAGGCCGCGAGGCACCTTCACAGACTTGTGGAGCAGGAAAACCAGCAGAAAAAAGTGGTCGGGCTTATGGAAAATGGCTGGGCTGCCTTTTCAGGTATCACTCTTGAAATTGGGGTTGGGAGACGGAGGAAATTACTCCCACTTTTTTCACATATCGATTCCTGATCAAGAGGCCACTGTGAGAACAGAGGTTAGCCCCCAAGGTTTGACTCTTTAAAGCTTTTGTGGGGAAACTGTAGGCAAACTGAATGTTGGACCAGCTTTGCAGTTCTGCTGGTGCAGATTTTGCTGATGTCTTTCTTCCTTGGCGTTGTGTTAACACCAAACTTCTGCTTGTACAGAGCTGCCCACACTCTGTGAGGATCAATAATCAGAGCGCTGATCAGCAGCTGCTGGATGCTGTATCACATGTTGCTGCTGCTACTGTTTGTTTTACAGGTAAAATGTACTTCTAAATTCTTTTAAATAGATTTATTCACATTTTAAGCTCGATTTGCTCTCCAATATACACTTTATAAATTCTGTTGATTCCCTCTGTTGATTCTAACCTCTGAATTGATGTGGAAGCATAAGGAGGGACGTAGATTTAGTGAAATAAATAAAACAGTGTCACAAATCATGTTTAGTTTTTCATTTGAGGTAGCAGCCATAATTAGTGAAGAATATGATCTTCTATCATAATGAAAAGCGTCAAACCTCTCTTTCACGTTATCAGTCAGAGGCCTGGTTAGTTTCTCACGAAAAGATCTGGAAATACAATTTTTTAAAAGTTTTATCAGTGAAGTTGTTTGATTTGGTCAACTTTAAATGTGCTGAACTAAGTTTAATCTGAACTCCGGGTCACCTCCTGCTCAGGCAAATGAGCAGGACGGTAAACAATAAAGTGTAATAACATCATAGGACTATAAATCCTCCTTTTTATTAGGCAGGCTTCCATTCCCGGGGTGTCAGACGTGATCGGAGGGATCCGCTCCGCCATTCCGGAGCTCTAACTCTGTTCCCCGCGTTAAAATGCAAATTGCTTTTCCTGACCCCACTGCGGTGGACAGGGAGGGCCGGCAGCCTTCAAAGTGACCTGCTTTCTGCCTCTGAAGGCCAGACGCTGTGAAGCAGCCCGGAGCTGATAGGGTGAGACAGCCGGGCAGATAACGCCGTCCATGGCAACAGAGCAGCCAGAGAAAACACAGAAAAACACAAATATTCCCTCTTTTTCTGAGTCTTTAACCTTAACGCCAGTTTTTCCACATTAACTGCTCTTCACATGTTCCACATGATGAAAAACATGAAAAAGGCAGCAAGTCTCCATCTTTAGGGGTGAAAACTAATGAATCCAGGCTTTCAAAGCTGGAAATGGAGCCATGAATCTGCACATCCTCACTAAATCCAAAATTCCTGATGTTCTGATGGAGGTTTCTTCCTGGTTCTGGTTCGGACAGAGGTTCCTGTCAGGATTCTTCCTTTTTAATTGTGGCTGACATGAGTAAAACTCGAGTAAAATCTCGGTTATTTCGGCGGCCTTGTGTTTGTGTGCCTTCTCCTTTCCCACGTTAGCGTTGTTCTAGTCCCCCGGCAG